ACCTTTTGTTCCTGCCCTCCCCGCCTTATCTCACTGCCTCCACTGTGTTCTAAACCAAACTGTCCTGTCTTGTTCCTATTTAATCTGTAAAATGCTTAGGACAGGGGCTGTCTTATTTTATGCTTCTACAGTAGCCAACACAATGGGACCCTGATTGGGGCCTCTCTACACTATTTTAATATAAATAATAAGATTGTATAATTTGATTGCAATGAAATTTATAATCACTACAAAGGGGCAATATTAATATTAGAAATGTGAAGAAAATGACTTGTTCAGAGATTGCTTTTGGGAATATTTCAAATTTTCCCATCAAACTCATTTACAGGGAGGGATGTTTTGCTCTGTATTTTTCTTTCACCCAATAATCCTATTTGTCCTTTAATGTTAATCTTAAGTGTTCTCTTCACACTGTCAGCATTTTATAAAGAAGTGGCAGCTCAGAACTAATTGGATTTGTCAAACAATCATAGCTTAACAGTTCTGTGAACTGTAACCACCATGAATAGCTACAGAAAAACCTGCAGATGTTATTTCCAAGAAAAAAATCTTCCTCTTAAAGTCGTTTGTGAGAAGACATAATTTGTTCCATAATTCAAACCCAAATTCTTAGCAACATAATGAGGTGATGTGTGTAACTAAGCTGAAAGGTAATGTGTAAAATCTGTGCAAATGATCATTTGCAGTTAAATCACAAATTAAAATTCACCTATTTTCGCTCCTACTCAATTTGCCCTAGCCTTGAAAAATAAATTTTTCACTCTTCATTGACTTGACAAAGACCTAGGGCTCAGTGTCTGTTGTTCTTATAGGCACTTTGAAAAGACAGATTATGAGAACTCTTAGTTGTAACTGTTGTGATAGAAATGTAAAAATATAATTTAATGAAAAAGGGCCAATGCACAATCATAGAACAAGGCTATTTAATTAATTATAGTTTGCATTTCTGTAGTGCCTTCCCCAGGAGGATTTTAAATTAAAGCCTCACAACACCAGTATTAAAACAGGCAATTATTATCCCCAGAATACCAGGGAGAACAGAGGTACTGAAAGAGTAAGGAAGTTTTCCTAGAATACACAGGAAGGCTATAGCAGAGATAGGAACAGAACTTAAAGCACAAGACTGGGAGACATGAGATCTATGAACTAAATCAATTTTCTGCACTTCTTGTTACATAAACTATATTTTTAATAGGGTGACCATACAGCCCGTTTTGGCCAGTCCAGTCCCCTTTTTAAGCCCTGTCCCTGGTGTCCTGATTTTTTTTTTGGCAAAACTGGGCATTTGTCCCATTTGCTCTTCCCAACTGATCATCAGTTGGAAAGAGCAAATGGGACAAATGCTCAGTTTTGCCTAAAAAAGTGTGGGGGGGGTGTCCCCCAGTGGGGTGTGGAACATTCAGGGGGGGAGGAACGAGTGGCAAGGGCTCAAGTGAGGCCACATGGCAGGGCTCAAGTGAGCAGTGATGCCAGGTGGCTCAGGACAGCCCTGAGTGCGAGAGGGGGCTCGGGCCAGCTCTACACTGGGGGGAGGGTTTTCAGGTGCGACCTGCGCCACATCCCATTTTCCCTTTGGAAAATATGGTCACCCTATTTTTAAGATACAGGATCAGATTCTCTAATCCCACTCCGCTCCCTATGTGTTGCTCTGATGTGCAGAGGCAATAGAAACTGCCCACACCTTTACTGCCAGGGATTTCCTCAGTATGAGGGGAGTCACTGGCTAGTCTAGAGGTGTAATAGCTGTTCCCATGCCACCCCTCTTGAAGCTCCCAGGAGGGGGATCCCATTGGGGTGGGGTTGGTATCAGGTACCAGGGCAAGCTATATTTGGCTATCCTTAGCAGATACTTCCTTAGGAGTTGTTACCCATCGGGCAGGTGCTTGGAACTCCACCAGGGCTTCAATCTCAACTCAATGAGAGAGCCCACCTTCTCTCTCTCTTCCCCTGGCCCCACATACACATTGGCCTTTATTGCACCCAGGAGAGAAAGGGCAGAGCAGAGAATCTGGGCAAGAGGAATGTATAAAATCCCAGTATCTATATTTCCTTTCAAATAAATAGAATGCAGCATTTCTTATTCCTGTGAGCTATTTGAGGCCTTATTACAATTTTTTAAAAATATTATTATTATGCAGGCATAGCCTGGAATTTTCTCTGTATCTGCGATGTATATCACCAGGTGGTGATATACTGTATTGGCTTCTGTGGGCTGGGAGCTTCAGATTAGTGCATTTTAACACACATAGTGGTCAACTGAAACACCTATCTTTGCCACTAAATGGTGAAGGTAAAATAAGTGTGAATGCTGTACAGGTCACTCAAGGATAGGGTGACCAGATGTCCTGATTTTATAGGGACAATCCCGATATTTGGGACTTTGTCTTATATAGGCACCTATTACCCCCCCATCCCCTCTCCCGATTTTTCACACTTGCTGTCTGATCACCGCACTCAAGGAATACGTACAAGTAGGCATAATGGGTTCAATCTTGGTGAGCTATGGAGCACCCTCAAAATGCATTCATTTTAATGAAGACTGAAAATGCTCAGTACATCTCAGGAGCAGGAGCAGTGTTAATGAGGAGAGATTTCTGTACATAAGCAGAAGTGCATCTACAGAGTTACATTCCTAACTCTGGATGCTATTATGGAAAAATCAAAGTATGGGATTGGCACGCAGGCAAAAATGCGAAACACGAAGCATTTGCTTCCTGTGAATTTCAGAGAGCAAACCAATATAACATTCATATTGCTGCTTGAATACAGGAGTTAAGCTTGCAAATAATAGAGAAAATCATTACGCATGTTGTATATGGAGAATAAGTGTACACAAATTCCACTGATGGTCAAAGAGCAGCAACTTAGCAATTTTTGAAAACGTTTCCCCTTTTAAGAGTGTTCACATAGTGCATTTAGAAATATATGCCTCTTTCCTAGATTCATGCTATCCCTTACGTCACTTGAATGTGACCTCAGAAGCAGAATACACAAAATTGAGATTCAGTCAATTTAAATATAAAATGCATTATGCATCTATAATTTAAATTATGCTAAAAGCTGAGATACCTAGAAGTGAGTGACAGGAAAATAAACCCCATGTATTATACAAAATGCTACGTTTGTGTTTCATTTTACTCTGTAACTAAACGAGGAAAAACCATTTACTGCATATAAAGGCCAACATTTTTAAATGTAAATACTCAAAGTTAAGCATCTAAATCTGTATTTAGGGACCAAAACAGAATATAAGACTTGATTTTCAAAAATACTAACCAGCCTCAACTCCTAATGACTTTAGTGGAGCTGCTGGTACTCAGCCCTTTAAAAATCAGTAATTTTTTATTTAAGTGCCTTAATGTGGACTTCGATGCCTAGCTTTATCCACACGCATTTGAATATTTTGGCTTCAGGTTTCTGTCTTTGAGCCAGTTCTTTCTAGCAATCCATAGTGAGTTTGTTAGACTAAATATAGACATGTATGTTTCCTAGTATATCCTGCTCATTCAGCATGTACAGTGAGGTGCATTTAAAAATACATTTCTGTTACCAGTTCCAGTGGTATTTCCAATTTTAAGTACACCGCTACCCCGATATAACGCGACCTGATATAACACAAATTCGGATATAACGCAGTAAAGCAGTCCTCTGGGGGGGGCTGCGCACTAGGGTGGATCAAAGCAAGTTCGATATAACGCAGTTTCACCTATAACGCGGTAAGATTGTTTGGCTCCCGAGGACAGCGTTATATCGAGGTAGAGGTGTATGTAGAATATCACTAGAATGAGTAACATCTTTTAATACTGGAATTAATTTTTAAGGGTTTCTACTCTATATTTATTACAACACTACAAATCCCAACCAAAATCCCAAATCCCAATTTAGTATCTCTATAGCAGACAAAACCAAACCCCCGGATTTGAATGCACCTCAATTTGGGGGAGAGTGGAGGGAGTAGGGACAGGCCATAGATACAATATCCAGATCTGAATCTAAACTTTCCCAAAGTCAAGGTGTTCAGATTCAGTCTATAACAGACAGCTATTAGAACAAAGGCCTGGTCTACACTACGGGATTAATTCGGATTTAGCAGCGTTAATTCGAATTAACCCTTCACCCGTCCACACAACAGAGCCATTTAGTTCAAATTAAAGGGCGCTTTAAATCGATTTCTGTACTCCACCTCGACGAGCGGAGTAGCGCCAAAATCGATTTTGTTAATTCGAATTAGGGTTAGTGTGGCCGCACACCACCGAATTAATGTGGTTAAAATAAATGGGGTAGTGTGGCCGCACACCACCGAATTAATGTGGTTAAAAAACGAATTAATGTGCTTAGTGTGGCCGCGCACAATCGAATTTATACAACCTGTTTCCCAAATTCGAATTATCTAAATTCGGATTAATCCCGTAGTGTAGACATACCCTAAGTGATTTAGGAGCCTGAGTCCTATTTTCAAAAGTGAAAATCAATGGGATTTAGTTTTCCAAGTAGAACCATGTGAATAACTGATTTTTCGATTTACTGGGCATTTGAAGAATTTGGGGGCGGGAAATCATTTTGGGTCAACTTGAAATGAATTTTTTCCAAATAGTCAGCAAACTGAAAACTTGAAAAAAAAAATTAGTGTAGGGTCAAAAGAAATGTTTGTTTAGTTTTTGAATTTTTTAAAACTTTTTAAAAATTAATAACATTGAAGTAAATTTCTAAATGGAAACTCATTTCAATTTGAAAAACTGAATTGTTTCATTTTGAAGGTTTTTTTTTTTAAATGAAAACAACTTGGTGAATTTGACACAAATTTGCAAAATGTTTGTCAACCTGAATTTGCATTCTTGCAGCAAAAAAAGTTTCAACCAAAATATTTCACCCAGCTCTACTTCCAACTGCCTAAAACATATCTGAAAACAAGGTTTAAGACACTTTTGAAAATTTTACCCAAGATTTCAGATGCAGGTTTTGGTCAATATCTATTAAAATGAATGTAAAGATTTTCTTACCTGTTGGTTTGTTAACTCCAAGGAATCCAGCTTGTCCTAGAGTTTTAAATACTTTGTGTGCTGGAAACTGTCCTTCTTCTTCCCATTTGTCCACAAATGGGTTAATCTCCTTCTCAATAATCTGCATTTGGAAAACAAATAAAGGAGCTCTTAAATCAAAGAGGTTTTTATAGAAACTGTGAATGCTTTGGAGATTAATTTTAAATAGGTATAATTTTTTCTACTTTAGCTTTAAATACTGTATTGTGAAAGAAATAAAAAAATATGTTTAACGCAGAATGGCACTAGTAACATTTTGAAAACTCTTGAGTTTGCTTTCTGCTAGATATATTAATCTCCATGGCTTAAAGTTGATGTCCATTAAAATTGCAAATAAGGGCATAATACAAATGTAAATCCATTCTTTTAGAAAGTATAAATACTGACTGCATGAGAAGTTGTTATGAAAAGAAAAACCCTAGAACCCAAGAGAAATGGAAACCATCCCTATTTTTGCTACATTCAAATTAGTTTCTACATGGCATTATGAAGGAAGGCTTACAACAACCTCAGATGATTAACTTTCATGTGAAGGATGCAAATTACTTGGACTGGCTACGCACAATGATTTCATACACTACAAATAACAGCGGTGACAAAGGCCAAGCCACAAATGAAGACAGCCATGGAGAGGGGTCAAAATGGCTTAACTAACCAACCAGTCACAAAGGAATTCCTTGCCTAACTTGACCTAGACCCACGGTCCCTGTTAATCTGCAGCATTCTGGCTCTTGTTCCTGTTCCATGGTACTGTATACATCCCATGTACAGAAGGACATTCAGACTCTCATCTGCTAATGAAATCTCAATATGGGATGCCCACACCCTCTACCCTCCCAGATACAAGCTTAGTGCTATTAGCTCTTAAATAAAACCAGTCAAAGGGATACACATGCAAAAATGGGATTGGGGTGAAGAAGATGGAAATACATTGGGCCAGCTCCTAGTTCATGCTCAGGCCTATTTTTGTCATGGAGCCTAAATGGGCAGCTGAGGACTCTCCTAGCATTGGAAAATCCTCGACTGGCATAGAGCCAACATAGCCAGCTCCACACTACCCACTCACATTGTAGCATGTGTGGTTGGGTTGTGACCAGAGTGCAGAATACTTCAGCAATCCCTGCCCATGCCCAGTATAAACAATGGCCCAGAGTGGTCTCTTACTAGCCAGCATAATTTGAAGCAGCCTTCAAACTGCTCTAAATTATGCAGGGGTAATTGAGGATGGGGCACAAGCCACTTTTGCTCCTCCACCAGGTACACCTGAAGATTGAACACATTAAATATCACACATAGGTAGGGCCTTATCAAAATCACAGCTGTGAAAAATGTATCGCGGACCGTGAAATCAGACCTTCCCCATGAAATCTAGCTATTGGAGGGGAGGGGAGGAGAGGGGCAGGGCTGCGGGTGCCCCAGCTGAGGGGTTCCTACTGTGCCCTGGCTACAGCTGCTAGTGCCCTCCAAGCTGGGGAGGGACAGGACTTACTCTTCCCCTGAACAGTTGCTCTCAGGGAGAGCATTCACACTTATTTTACCTTCACCATTTAGAGAGATCAGACCCACCCCCCGGTACCTACCCTGGAGCTTCCTGCAGCTGGAGGTTACCGGAGGAGGAAGTGGGTCTGATCTCCCCCGTGCTGCTGGGAGCACCCTGCAGCTGCATGAGGTACCCAAAAGTGAGCCTGCTCTCCCTCAGAGAGCAGCCGTGCAGGGGAAGAGCAAATCCTGTCCCTTCCCAGCCGGGACTAGCAGTTAGGAGCTCATGGCTGGGGTGCTCCCAGCAGCACGGGGGAGATCAGACCCACCTCCACCTCTGGGAATCTCCTGTGGCTGCAGGAAGCTCCGGGCTGCTGCTTTCAGAGACCAGCTCTGAAGGCAGTGCAGAAGTGAGGGTAACAATCCCACGACCCCTCTACAACAGCTTTGTGATCACCCCATGATTTCCTTTTGGGATGGGAACCCCATGGTTACAACACCATGAAATTTCAGATATAAATATCTGAAAATGTGAAAATGACTAATTTCCAAATCCTATGGCCATGAAATTGAGTAGAATGGAGCGTGAATTTTGTAGAGCCCTACAAATAAAACGTCAAAATTAAACACACACACTTTGGAATAAAAAAGTTGTACTATTTTTAATAAGGATAAAGACAGATTTTTAATCCGTGAAGGAGATTTTACTCCTCTCCAAGATAATGCTGTATTATAATATACACTATTTTTTATTCCAAGTGTTTACCTTTACCAGTCTTTTGTCCACACCAAATAAATAAGTCCTGTGGTGATAACTACTTCTTAATCTGGAAATAAATACTTCTGCTTCCCAAATCGCTAGGCTGAGAAGGAAGGGACCCTGTGGAGTTTCATTTTGAGAGATCTAGTTTTTGTACAGTCTTAAGAGAATTTCAGCCCATCCACACCGGCTTCTTGCTCTACAGTTGGCCAAGGAACACTGGATACCTCACATCAGGCAGCAAAAATTATTTCACTCCTAAAACCATATTCTGAGAAACAATTACATTGGATGTTTAATTTATTCAATTATTTATAATCTCTCTCATAGTGAACATTGTCAATCACATGATTAGCAATAACAAAAATAAACTGCACATCCCTCTTCCCATGTTGTATCTAGGACAGTCTTCCACTATGTTTATAAATTTTCATTCCAGATGCTTAAATACTCAAGATATAGACCCTTAACGTTGAGTTTGCTGTAGCAAAGTATGATTTTTTATTAATAGTGTTCTTTGTTTGTGAGACTTCACTTGATAGTGTCCAGGAAAATGACTGGAAGTGACTACTAACTATGAACAGAAATCTACCCTAATGTTTTGATGGAGCTCAGCAAAAGTAGGAAGTGGATGTACTAGAAGTGTTGCCTATGTACTATAGCCATTGGGACGGAGTTCAGTGCTGCAGCCATCTGCATGCATTAGAAGTCAATGAAATCAACGGAATGATTGCAGCATCAAACTCATTTACATTTTCCATCAGTTTTGCAGAGTTTAACTGTTTGTCCTGTCCTGCTCGTTTTTTGACCTTGGGTTATAGCTACAAGTATGAAACAGGACCAAAGTAAATTGATGTCTGAAAACAGTGTGATACAGTTTCACCAAAAATCACAGATCGCTCCTGCCTGACACCATCTTGGAGCTGTAAACAATATAACTGCACAAATCAAAAATAGTGTATTCTACTAACATCTGGGATAAGTAAGACTCATTTTCCAGATACTAGTAACATCTCTTTTCCACCATTTGCCATACCCCATTACGAATGTCTGTATCTACGATAATGTGTTTTCACTGTATTGTCCCAAGACTTGGCTTCTTGTCATTTGTGTTGCCTGTTTTAGAATGGCTGCTCTTCAGAGCAGGAAACAGGTCTTACTCTATGTTTTGTAAAGTGCTGTGCTCATTTACGATGTTATATGATTATAAATAAAAATTATACTTCAAGTCTTCTATCCTAGATAAATATTCCAAATAACAAATATCCAACAGACTAACTGGAATATAGGGATACATTTTCAAAGGGCCTGTTACCCTATTTGCATGAACAATTTGGCTCACAAAATGTGTACTTATATTTTTGCACATTTATGTAAGTGAGATGTGGTTGCAAGTTTAAGTACTTGCATATCTACCTGATTTGCACTTGGAATCTAGTACTTAGGTGCAAGTACTCAGATTTGTGCCCACAATTGAATTTTGGATGCTTCAGTTGCACTTGTTAAAAGCAGGTGCATGAATTGCAAGCATAAATTGTGCATGCAAAAGAGAAAATACCCATTCTAAAATCTAACCCATAAAGTGCATAGGAATAAATATTCAACAAGTTCACAAAGGAAATATTCTGCCACAATCACAGACAATCAAGTAACCTGCTGCTGATTATTCGCTTCATCATAAAAAGTGCAGAAGATCATGAGTGGCAATCTGCAGATTCATTTACATCAGTGCGACATTTGCTGTATAGAAGACTAACATAGATACCTTCAGCAAGGTTCAAAGTGATCTCTAAGGCTGCATGTTGATGTGAGGGCTTGCATTTCTAGAGGAACTCCCAGTTACAGAGGCCAAACCTCTTAGCCTGACCAAGTAGGCCAGTGGTTCTCAACCAGGAGTATGCATACTCCTGGGGGTACGCAAAAGTCTTCCAGGAGGTACATCAACTCATCTAAATATTAACCTAGTTTTACAACAGGCTACATAAAAAGCACTAGCGAAGTCAGTACAAACTAAAATTTCTTACAATGACTTGTTTACACTGCTCTGTATGCTATACAATGAAATGTAAGTACAATATTTATATTCCAATTGATTTGATAATTATTTGGTAAAAATGAGAAAGTAAGCATTTTTTCAGTAATAGTGTGCTGTGACACTTTTGTATTTTTATGTCTGGTTTTGTAAGCAAGTAGCTTTTATGTGAGATGAAACTTGGGGTATGCAGGACAAATCAGACTCCTGAAAGGGGTACAGTAGTCTGGAAAGATTGAGAGCCACTGAAGTAGGCAAACCGCAAGGAAATTCAGTATCTACACTGAATCTAAATGGGAATCAGACTTCCTTTTTCAACATGCTGAGAAGCATGTGAAGAATGACAATACTGTCCTCTTGTTTAGGGTGACAGCATAAGAATTTCTCTCAAGTACAGTATACACATTTTCCTCATACTGCCCCACCAGAGTGTCACAATTCAAACCCAGAGGCATGATCTCTGTAAAGGAGAGGAGGGTCAGTTTGCATACCAATGCAAGCTCCTGTCCCTCTGTGGAGACTGCCTACAAGAGTGATATCATAGTTAATATCAATTGTTATTCTTTTAAAAAACATGGATAGGTGCCCACTAGGAAACTGATCAAGCCAACAAACTCTAGTAATGTCAGATGACATTAACAACAACAAACCTTTTTATAAAGTAATCTGTACTAAACTGTATCAAAAACAGCATCTGCAGCTCAGTGTTCAGGAAAGGAGAAATGGGAGGAAAGAGGCAGCATTTTTTTTTATTTTTTTTTGGTTTGGGGTTTTGTTGTTATGGATTATTTCAGCATACAAGTAAAATAAA